AAATGCAGAAGGTAGGGACGTTTTGTGCCAAAAAATGATTGGTAGGGATGTTTTCTACAATAAACTTGATAGGTAGGGACGTTGCGCACCAAAAAATCAAACGTTGGGATGTTTTCCACACAACCCTTCAAAGGTAGGGACGTTTTGAGCCAATAACCCTTTTATGTTTATTGGTAAGACTTCTATTTTAATTTTTTCTTATCATAATGAAATTATACTCAATTTTATATTTAAATTATGAAAAATACTACACACAATATTACACACACACACACACATCCGCGCACTCTAATTTTTGTTTAAAAACTGTATAGATATTGATAAATGTATTTTGTATCCTTATCTAAATCATTAAATTAGATTATTTGTTAGTGATTTGGATGAGTTATAATTTAATTATGTATTAATCATGTTTTTTAAGTTGAACTTAATGCAAATTGGTAGATTTGGGAGATATGAATGAAAAAAGGACAAAAGTAAAAATAAAAAAAATAAAAAAATTCAAAGTTTGGTGATCAAAGTGTAAACATTTAATAGTAGATTCGGACCACAAAACTATTATTGAAGATCGTATAGGATGACTTGAATGCAATTGGAGGTCAAATGAGAGAAATATAGTCGAAATATTTTCAGAAATTAATTTGCAGTGGAAGAAGTTATGCTCCGAATTTTTAGCCTCAATTTTAGACTCATTTTTCGGATAGAAAAAGTTCGAATTGGAAAAATTTTACTTCTAGAATAATTATATCCCTTTAAGTTATCTTTTCAATACATTTTGAACCATCTCAATCGGATATCGAAAGATAAAGTAATGACCAAAATACAGAAAACTATTCAGGGACGACGTGACGTAAACCAGTGCGTGGGCAACTCATGGCATGCTCGCGAGACACAAATTTCATGACCCGAGAGCCATATGATTCAATGGCGAGCACGTGGCGGGCATACTTGTGCGCGAGCGCAGACTATTTTTTGCAGATGAATCGGCAGTTTTCTTTCATGATTCAACTCTTTTGGAACTCAAATTTAACGCGATTTTGATATATTTTCTGAATCTTATAGGTTATAAATAAAAAATGAGGGTTACACATTGAGAAAAATCATATCTTACCTCTTCATATACAAGAATATCATCAAATTCATCAAGAATAAGTATTTAATTTGAGTTTACTAGTTTTATTGTATTCAAATTTTTCTTTTTTTGTTTTGTTTTGTTTTAGGCTATTTATTTACAATACCTAACTAATCTCTTTTGTTTATTTTTTGGCAGTTTATGTAAGATTATAAATAAATCGAGTTCCTACCATTGGATTTTGAGATCAAAAGAACCTCCAGACAACGAAGAAAAAATAGAGAGAAGTAAGAGACACGGCAGAAAATCAAAATCAAGTTCAATTACCACCAGTTGCATTAGAACCACCAGATTCGCCATGAAAATTTGTTAGGGATTATTTAAATCTCATACCTGCTGCAATCGACTATTATTTATCCACCTTTTGGGCATGCCAACTTCCACATTCGATTAGATGTCATCAACTTATTTCAAAATTATCAGGACATCAAATTCTTGAGAAAACCAATTGAAAATTCTCATGAATACATACAAGCTTTCCTAATGCTTTGCGAGGTGATCGGTCATGAAGGCATGTCAGCTGATGTTTTTCGAGTGCGTCTATCCCCTCATACTTTACAGGAAAAAGCACGAGGTT